GGAAGTGTCCAAGGCCAGGTTGGACGGGGCTTGGAGCACCCTGGGCTGGTGGGAGGTGTCCCTGCCTTCACAGGAACTCATCTGTTCCAGAGCCAGTGGAGTGGCCTCAGTGTCCCTCTCCCAGTCCCTCTGTGCCCTCAGACATGGCAGGAGCTGGGAATGCTCTGTCTGCTCATGTCCTCAGCATGCAGGGAAACAGGCCTGTGCATGTGCAAGCAGAGAGACCAGCTTCCAACCATTTATGAGATGAGAGAACATTAAAGATACAACTCCCAGGATTTCCAGAGAGCCTCATGTTCCAGCCGAGCCAGAGCTGCCAACCTGCTCAGGAAAGGGCTGGAATCAGGGGGACAAGGAACCTGGACACAGGAGCTGTTTGGTGATGGAGTGAGCCAGGTGGGAAAGAAAAGGGGAAAAACCAAGTCAGCATGTTCATAATGATCAGAAGAAGGAATAAAGAGCAAGAGAACAGCTGAGGCAGAGAGATCAGAAGCCTGTTCATCCCCAGAGCAGATGGTCGGGCCGGCACATTCCCGGCACGTTCCTCCCCTCCCTGAGAGTCCCCTTGCTCTCAGCAGCCTTTGATGAATTTATTTCCTTCAGCAGAACTGGTTCAAGGAGCAGTGGAGGGGTGTGGATGTTTGGTGCCCACCACATCCTGGGGGAAAGTTAAAGCAGAATTGGTCTCTGCTGCTTCCATCTGCCCCTGCCCGTTCCAGTCGTTGCCCTTTGGTTCCTGCCCTGGAAGGGGGAGGGAACAGCTGGAATGGGAACAGCTGTTTCCTATTCACCACCTCCTTGCTCTCCATGCTTTCACAGAACACTCTATCACAGCAGTTTTCTCTGCAGCTTGAGGAATCTGCTCCATCTCCTTGTGCAGCAGGACTGGGGGGTTTAGATCGTGGTCTGCTCTGCCCCACACCAGACCTGTGGAGACAGCTGGGGAACACTCCCTGGCTCAGAGAGGGAATGCTGGACATGGCACTCAGTGCTCTGGGCTGGGGCACAAGGTGGGGTCACTCACAGGCTGGACTCCATGGCCTGGGAGCTCTTTTCCAGCCTCAGTGGTTCTGGGATTCAGGGGTCAGCGTCAGGATCGCCGACTCAGCAGAGAATCAGCTCCCAGAACTTAACACAACAAACACTGTGGAAATGCAGTTACCTCCTGAAATGGCTGGATTTGTGGAGCATACTCACATCTGAGTTTGTCCAGGATTTTCCCACCACACATGGTGGCCAGCATGGCTTTCACTGAGAACACCGTCAGCTTCCCGTGGCCCTCGCTGTGGGAGAAAGGACATGGTGAGGAATTCCAGCAGGGAAGGGCAAGCACTAAAGCACCTAAGGCCTAGGAAGGAAATGTGTAAATCATTGTACTATTATATATATCCACTATATCTATATCTGCATCAAGTACTAAGGACTGCCAAAGCTATTCAATGTAACTCTCAAACAGGGATAACACCAGCATTTCTAATGCACTGCAAGAGTTAACAAGTGTCTAACCATAAATCAAATTTCCTTGCAGAATTACGAAAAATTCCCAGATAAAGAGCCTGACATTTGTGTTGCCCATCCCATAACTCTTCCATAAAACAGTGCTAATTCATTTTTCCATTAAAATCCATTTGTTCATTGTGAAACTCTGCTTCATTTTTCTCTCTGCTGCCCTCTGTTAGTTTCTTTAAACTTTTACTCCTTAGTTTAAACTCTTGACGTCCAAACTCACATTTCATTCTAAAAACAAGCCCCTGAACTGACAGGTAACAGAGAAGCTGTGTGAGATCCTGGAGACCCCACATGGAACAGGGAACACTGGGAACAGTGTTAATTTGCAGCTGAAGTGATTAAAGCTGCTGTGCTGTGGGAGCAGGGGCACCTCTGGGGAGTCACTTCTGCAGCAGCAAGAGAGAAGGGATGTGGCTCTGTGGAAAGCAGGAAGGAGCCATCCAGCACAGCAGGATTGGTAGGGACAGACAGGGGGGTTATTCCTGCTTCCAGGAGGAAGTTGAGGAAGGGATGCTGTGGGAGAGAAGGCACCAGGAGCACGAGGGGAGGCTGGGTGGGTTAAAGCACAGCACAGCTGGGCAAAGGTGGGGAAAAGCTGCAGGAATTCTGAGCAAGTTACTGGTAGACAGAAGTGCCCCCTGTCCCTGATCACAGACCCCCACCAAGGAACTCAAAGGTAAAAGGAGAAACCCAACTCAAATAAATTCCAATGCCTGTCATCAAATGGGCTGGACAGGTAATCTGTATAATCTGTACTGGCATGGAAAATACACTGAGGGGGGAAACACAGGAGGAGTGTGGGGAGAGATCCAGAGAAACCAGAAATACTTCTGAAGGGAGACTGCAAAGAGCTGGAGAGGGACTCTGGAAAAGGGATGGAGGGACAGGACACAGGGAATGGCTTCCCACTGCCAGAGGGCAGGGACAGATGGGATATCAAGAGGGAATTCTTGGCTGTGAGGGTGAGGAGGGGCTGG